ACCACTGGATATATCAAGACATTTGACCCCTTTATATCGAGGACTGTAGCCTAAGAAAACACATCGCCTGGAGCGAAACGAGAGTTTTCGTTTGTTATAAGGGCGAAGGTTTGGCCAACATGCACACCAAAACACACGAAGAGGTTCATAGTTGGGTTTGACATGGAGTAGAACTTCCGTAGGACTCATGTGATTGAGTATCTTGGTAGGGAGCAAATTAATGAGATATGTGGCGGTGAGAAAAGCTTCATCCCAAAATTTAAGAGGCATGCATGCATGAGAAAGTAAGGCAAGGCCAACCTCAACAATGTGTCGATGTTTATGTTCAGTTGAACCATTTTGTTGATGGGCGTGAGGACAAGACACATAATGTGTAATGCCAACTTTTTGGAAGAAGGCATTGAGTTTTTCGTATTCACCACCCCAATCAGTTTGCATGGTAATTATTTTTCAACCAAATTTCCGTTCAACAAGTTGTTGGAAATTAAGGAAGACCTGATAAACATCAGAACGCTTCTTAAGCAAATATATCCAAGTAAATTTGCTAAAATCATCAATAAAGCTCACATAATATAAGTGTTTCCCAACAGAAGCTGGAGCAGGACCCCAAACATCAGAGAATATTTGTTCCAATGGAACAGTAGACACACTAGTAGAGATGGGGTAGGGAAACTGATGGCTTTTAGCTTGCTGACATGATCACATACATAAGGATTTATTTGTGGATCATAAGGGAGTTTATTCTTCCGAAGTACTTGTTGAACAATGAAAGAGGATGGATGCCCTAGACGATTATGCCACATGGATGAAGTGGGTTTGATGGTGACGAAGGCACACTTGGGAGACCTCGTGAACAAGGGCATAATCGGGTAGAGACCACCATGGCAAGGACCTTTAAACACTGCGTCCCTCGTGACCTGATCCTTGATCAAAAAGAAGAAAAGATGAATTTCAAGAAATATATTGTTGTCTAAGGCAAGTTGATGAGCAGATAAAAGATTTTTGGATGCACTAGGAACATGCAAAATATTGTTAAGAGAAAGAGAATTATGAGGGGTGTGCAAAGTAGAATGACCAGCGTGTGTTATTGCCATACCATTTCCATTTGCCATATGGACTTGATCACGTCCATTGTAATTTTCCCGAGTGGTCAATTTGTGTAATTCTCCGGTGATGTGATTTGTTGCTCCTGTATCAACATACCAGTTTGTATCGACTCCATAAGATGCAAGATGCGCACCCTTGTCTTCCGAGTGAGAGTCATCATCATCACCATTGTCATAATACCTCCACCAACAATCACGTTCTGGGTGCCCATATTTTTTTGCATATCTGACATGTAATATCCTGGCGAGGAGAAGGTATGCGACCACGGCCACGACCACGACCATGACCACCTCTTTGTGGATTACGACCATGTGTTGGATGTGTCTGCTGCGGACGACCACGGTATTGCCCATATCCACCACGAGAGTTTTGCCGATAATTATTATTGAAGGAACGTCCTCGTGTAGCAGCATTAGCGGAAGACTGAAAACCCCCAACGATTTGATCTGACTCGGCAAGCATTTGCTGCCTGTAATCATATGCCGTAAGCTGTGCATAAACATCAGCAAGAGTGTTGGTAGGAACAGCGTTAATAGAGGCAACCACAGAGTTATATTCTCCATCAAGACCACCAAGGATATACTCCTTCAGTTCATCATCATTAATTAGCCGACCAGCTGCAGCAAGTTTTGAAGAAAAACTTTTCATCAAAGCAATATATTTATCTGCAGGCATATCACGCTTCTTTGTATTCACAAGTTTTCCACGCAACATATTGATGCGTGCCTTGGATTGTGAGGCAAACGAGGCTTCAATTGTAGCCCAGATTTCAGCAGCATGTTCTAACGCAAAAAATTGAGCAAGAACATCCTTACTTATTGATTTTGTGAGATAGCTCACGACTTGTTGATCCCTCTCAATCCAGGCTTCGTAGGCCGGATTCGACATAGTGGTCCTCGTGCTTTCAGCCTCAACCTCCAATGTTTTTGCAGGTGCTGAATCGGAACCATCAAGTAGCCCCATGACCCGAGCACCGAGAAAGGCAGGAAGAATCTGCATCTTCCAATAGATGTGATTTTCCCGAGAGAGTTTCTCCGAGTGAGGAGATCCCAGAAGCGCCGCCAATGTTGAAGAGGAGGTCGCCATGGGGAAGGGGGGAGGGAATCGATCGATGATCTTGACCAGCGATCAGGTTTTTGGCGTGTGTGTTTGGCTAGATCAGATCGCTAGACCTCGGAAGAGGTGTCTCTGATTCCATGTGGAATTGCAGGAAACGGGATGCCTTCTCAGGTCCCGGTTGCGTGTTAATATAGATGGGAAGAGCCCCCATCATGGCGTTACAGAGGAGACCGATCGTTGGTGTACTACACCATACGAAAGGTTCAGAAACGGATGCTAGGTTCAGTTACAAGAAGTCCAACAGGGAGTTCCAACTCGGTTCGTCCGCACGAGCACCGTTCTACGGCTGATGCCGGTTCCAGTCCTCGCCATGGGCGGAGCCACCCTGCGGCAAGGTCCCTATCTTCATCTCCCCCCCCCATCCTCGTCGACTGCACCACCTCATCCCGTGGTTTCTCACGAGGCATGTCGGGTCGTGTCTCAGCAGGGGCACTGCCTTGGTGTTGACTGCTGAGCGTGTGGTGGAGGTTGGTGGCGTGGAAATGACGCTCGGCCACCTCGAACATCACAACAGGATGCCTACCTTGCCGCTCCCATCCTTCGCACCGGACTTCCTCGTCTTCTTGGAGGCGGAGGTCGCCATGGAGGGCACCTTGTGCACCAACGGCTCGACCACTATGGCCTCGAGATAGTTCAGCTCGACAGCGGCGGTCATGGTTGGGCAGCAGCTGCTGCTACTGCTGGTCGATGGCGAGCCTCGAGCTCGGTGCGTCACCATCAGTATGAAACCCAGACGCACAAGAGGTGCTCGACAAAATGTTGCTTCTACTGCATCCCACACAGAGAGATGGCAGCCAACTTTATGATTTCTTGTCAAAATGAGTGACGAAATGTTGACGTAAAAAAAATGAGGGGTCAAATCTCTACCTTTTGTAAACTTGAGCGACTAAATACAT